TTCACTCCATACACCACAAACGTACGTGCAGTTTTGTACTTGGCTCCTTCTGAGAATATGTAGGCCTTAAACCAGATACCAAAAGACAGCTGTCCCTTCTGCCTGCACTAGCACATCCTAGACTGGTTTATTAACAAATGACATTCAGCTCTAGTTTAGAAAGTGATTGTTTCTTTGCTATGTAGTTTCCAGACTGTGCTTCACAAGGTAAAAGAACATGAAAAGCAGCAGAGCAGGGGCCCCAAGGGGTCTGCCCTGCAGACTGAACTAATATGCTCTGTTACACATAAAAAATCGACTAGTAAAAGGCGAAAGATTTATACGATCTGAAGAGAAATTTCAGAGACACAGAGGAAGAACTGAGGGTTGTTAGCTGGGAGGGGGTGGGGATGAAGGAGAGGGGAAGGGATGAGACAATACAAATTGGTAACTACAATATGGCCTCAGGAATAGGAAAAGACAGTCTGAGGAATATAATCAATAATGTTGTAAATATTTCTTAGGGGGCCAGATGAACTCATGTCCTGTTGGGGAGACCACTTCATAGTCGGTATAGAGGCCTGACCACCGCACTGTATTTCTGAAGCTGATGTTGAATGATTGTATGTCAACTATAATTATATATACATATAATCACAGGATGTGGAGTAGAGTGTGGGAATGGAGTCAATGGAATTGTAATAGATAAGCATAATATCGGGGGTGGGAGAGCAGTACATGGGGGGAGGAGGGTTGTTACTTTGTGAGGGTGAAAAGGATAACTATTGCATTGTTCTGTACACCTGAAACTAACAATAAAAAATATATATATTAAGTGAAAAAAACACACAAAAAACTAAACTATTACATATTCAAAAAAAAAAATTTACTAGTAAAAGCCAAACACCACTAGGCCTAATTCATGAGCTTTTGGGGAGAGTGATCGCACAGTAGGGCCTATTTTTTGTTGCTGTTGTTCATTGAGGTATAATTTACAAATGGTAAATTTAAATATTTTTAGGTGTCTAGTTCTCTAAATTTGATGAACTTACGCCGTCATGCAATCACCATCGCAATCAAAATTCTCTCACGTCAGAAAACTCCTGGAGCCCCATTGTAGCCAATCTCCTTCCTTTAACCCCAGCCCTTGGAAACCATCGATTTGATTTCTGTCCCAGCATTTTGTCTTTTCTAGAATGTCATGTAAATGGAATCATACAGTATACAGCCATTTTTATCTGGCTTCTCTCACTTAGCAAAATGTTTTTGAGACTCATCCATGCTGTTGCAAGTATCAGTACTTCATTTCTTCTTGTTGCTGTATAGTATTCCATTTGTGGATAGACCACAATTTATCTATTCACAGTTGCAGGGCATTTGAATTGTTTCTAGCTTTTAATGATTATGAATAACGCTGCTATTCAAATTTGCTTATAAATTTTTGAAAGGATATCTTCTTCATTTCTCTTGGCTAATTACCTAGGAGTGGAATTCCTGGGTTGTATGGTAAACGCATGTTTAATTTTATAAGAAACTTCCAGACTGTCTTCCAACATGGCTATTCCATTCCCACCAGCAATGCACGATAGTTGCAGTTGCTATACGCCCTTATCAGCGCTAGATGTTGTCATTTTCCTTGAGTTGAGCCATTTTCGTAATAATTAATGAACTTCTGACCCAGGCTGGGCTATAAAATTAAAGATTCTGCCAGCTACGTGTACCTCTAACATAGAATAGTGTCCCTCTAACATCCACATTCACCTGAAACCTCAGAAAGTAACCTTATTTGGAAATAGGACATCTGCTGATGATTTATTTAAATTTAGATGAGGATTTACTGGATTAAAGTGGACCTTAATGATGAGAATTTACTGAATTAAAGTGGACCTTAATTCCAGTGACTGGTGGAAGGCTACATGAAAACAGAGACAGAGAGGAGAATATCATGTGACGATGGAGGTAACGATCAGAGCTATGCTACAATAAGCCAAGGAACACCAGAAACTACCAGAAGCTAGAAGAGAGGAAGGATTCTTCCTTAGAGCCTCTGGAGGGAGTGTGGCCCTGCCAATATCTTGATTTCAGATCTCTAGCCTCCAAAGCTGTAAGAGGGTAAATTTCTCTTGTTATATGAGTAATCCAGCCAGTTTGTGGTAGTTTGTTACAGTAGCTCTAGGAAAATTATACACTATGAACACAATTTACAAAATATAATAATGCAAAGAAGTTTATACGGTTATAGTTGACTTACATAAAGCTTTCAGAGGATAAATTGTTTGTGTGAAAATACAGTTCTAATTAGTACAAATATTCCATTAACAGCCTCAATTACTACTAGATATAAAAATACTTGGACTAAGTCTTTGAATAATCTATAATTCACCTTTGCATTCATTGGGCTGAACTTCTGCTAATGAGTACAAATTAGTAAAGACCTACTATTTATCAAGAATTAAGGTCAGTCCAGTGCCAGAGTCCCAATGATTCGTAACCCATGGCTTTTGAATATGTGAGACCCACATTTTGCAGAATGTTCTATAAAGGATGAAGAAATAGACTTTCTTTTAATTTAGTCATTTGTGTGTACTGCAACCTTACGGATTTTTTAAATTGTAAAATCATGTGTTCATTTTCCCTACCATGGGGTATAGACCAGTTCTGAAAACAAAACTTCTGTGGCAGAATCAGTCTTGGCTATTTCAGAAAGAACAGATCATATTTCAGTTTTAGCACAAACCTCTTCCAGCTCCTAAGGAAGAAAAGAATCCAGTCTTCAAACCCCTATCAGACTTCCTCAAAGAGGCAGAGGGACCTCCATCCCCACCCCAAAACCCATGAAAAAAGTTGATATACTCCTGTCACTACATTATTCATAAAAAGATTACTAGCTCAATGAGAACTGTTTTAATTCAATAATATAAAATGAAGGAATAGCGATAACCAATATCGGGTTGTGGCTTATACCTCCATAATTTTGCTGAGTAGTTATTGCAATCGGACAGAAATTGAGGCAACAGACCTGGCAGGAGGGCTGTCACAGAGTGCGTAAGGAGGATTCCATGCGTTTACAGTCATTCCACTATCTATACAACTGAAGCCCCGTTTTCTTCCCATTAGTGGCATGAGTTATATCACAAACCTCCCAGTTAAACACAAGATGATATTATATGGAGATCTGGGAAGTGTGTCTGACATTCACTGAGGCTATCATGAGTCATTTCCCCAGTTATGTACTGTGGTTAACAGCTGTACCAGGCCTATTTCACAGGGGTAGCCGGAAAACACGATTGTACCTTCCATAAAAAGTTTGCAGAGCAAGGCAGGGTGTCATTTGAACAGAGTCCAGCAATGTTCAATGACCCGTATAAAAGGTCTGGTTTTGCCTACCTCTGCTCTCTAATCAGCATAAGCTGTTCTTTAGTGTTTGGGGAGAACACAGGGTTGGCCTATTTTGGGGGGACAAAGGACTTATAATATTAGACTACCCGTTCCAAGTTTGGGCAATTTCAAAGGACAGGGCTTTGGAGGCTTGGAACAACCTGCACGACTTCACTGTCCCTGGGTCTGGCTAAACATAGAGACCGGCTTCCCTTTCCATCCCCATCTCACGTGTGGAAAGCTATAAACCCAAGTTACCACAAATAAAAGGCCCCCTGAGAGTGCCCCCCCATGCCCTTTGGGATGGTATGACACAATCAGAAGGAAGCAATTGAGGTAGGGACTGTCCCTTCTATGAGAAGTGAAGAAAGGGGGAAAAAACTATGACCAAAATGCATGTCTCATTTAATTAAATATCAACAGGAATGTCTATGCATTTTACAGTGCCAGCATACCAGACAAGAGACATAAACTCCAGACAGAGCCAAAGCCACTAGATTTGTACTCTGTTTTATGGGCTAATTATGTGTTAAAACTTGTAACAACCAAGCAGATATCATTGCCCATTGCAGAGTGGTCAGAATTAGTCCTAAGAATTGTGTAGATGGACAAAACCTTTCAGGAGAGCTCCGAGTCACTACTATAATCTATGGTAATTATAGTTGGCATCAAACTGGCAAACTATGCACATGCCCACCCTCCGCCACCCTAAAAATACCATCAGTTACAAAAATACTTGAAAAATTAATTCTCTATAGTAAGGGAACAGAAGAAACAGCCAAAGACTTGCTTGAAAGAGAAATCAGACCTGAAGCTCACAGCATTTCAGCACATTTGGAAACAAAGTTAGAAACAGCTAGATGCAACCATCGGAGGAGCTGTTCAGCCTCTCTCCCTGTGCAAATTAACCTAATCTTGAACCTGGCTTGGTTTAATTTATTTATTCGTTCTCATGTGCCACACTATTGCAGATTCCTGAGTCCTTGTATTGCAAAGACCTGGACAATAAATATTGGGGCTGGGGAACTGACTAAATTAAATCTTTTTAAATTATATTTTTGTGCGGTAAAGCAGGTACCAACACCAACTAATAAAGAAAAAGAATTGAAGAAAATTTCATCGTCGTATCGGCATCCTGCGGTGTTCCTCAGAACGAAGCCACCAATTTGTGATAAAAAAACACAAACAAAAATCTTGAGAGATCAGAGAATAAAAGTAGCTTTTAACAAAAACAGTGAGTTGTTAGAGCACACAGACAACTGGCATAGCGTGTTATAATCTTTCTGTATCACTGACTTCAGCACTGTCCGTCTAGAAAAGACACACCGCGGAAAGGTTTGGTGACTAGGCAGAGAGAGGACCTTAGCGAGCACAAGCACCAGGTGTCTTTGACTCCTCTCCCCTACAGCCCCCCTGCTGCTTCCGCGCCTGCCCTTTGCTCACGTGGGCTGCGGCCCCCTCCATCCTCCAAACCCAAGCAGCGCCCGCCCCGCTTCCGCTGATTGACCGGTGGTGCAGCGACTCCCAGGAGCACACCATTAGTAACAATCTCTACTGTACCCAATAAGAACCAAGAGGCGGGGCCCGAGGCGAGGAGGCGTTGCTGGTCAGGTGCTCTGCGCCGAGGTTGCGTGCAGGTGAGCGGCTGCGGGTTCAAGGGGCGCCCCTCGCTCTCGCTAGGTCCCCGCTATAGTCCCGGGTCTGCGGGAGGGAGCCCCTTCCAGATTCCCCCGTTCATTGCCCCAATCCGATGCGGACTGACCGGATTGCTGGGAAGGTAAGAGGCCAGGGGAGTGGGCGACTTGCCTCCAGCGGACCCACACCGCTCCTGTGGGCTCCCACAAACTANAGAGAGAGAGAGAGAGAGAGAGAGAGAGAGAGAGAGAGAGAGAGAGAGAGATTTGATTGATTTTATTTTGCCTGTCCCTCTATTAGAAATGGGGATATATACCCAAATCAAGGACATTCTCAAAAGGATATTCTTGGCTTCAGATTTTGCCAGTCTGTCCTTGTTTTCTTCACCTGCTTCCCAGGAGCTCATATTTTTGAACATCATCCTGGGTGGTGCAGGACACAAAGAGATGTGTCCATAGGGCACAGCTGGTGGGAGAATGGTGGTGAAACGGAATTGCCTGGTAATAAAGCCACTGGGAGTGGAGAAGTGTAAAGTCAGTGCTGATGTGACAAATATGCCACTTGTGTGTCTCACACAGAGAACTGGGATGATTAGGGGAATATGCCCCCCCCCAATAACATGAGAGACCACCAAAATTTTGGCAAGGGGTAGTTGGAAAACCAGAAAAATAAATACTATAAATATCAATATCCTTCTACATAGAGAGTTTTATATCCTGCTTTTCTCTTTTAACATTTTATCATAAGAATTTCCCCTTATTGTTAAGTATTCTTTGAGAATGTGCTTTTTAATGGCTGAATAGTAGCCATCATATGAAAACATGAACATGTTCTTAATTATTTCTTTTTGTGAGATACTTAGGTTGTTTCTCATTGAGGAGTATTAGTAATAAGACTTTGGTGAATAATGTCATACCAAAATCTTTGTCTCCATCTCTGACAGGATAAGTTCTGAAAAATAAAATTACTAGGTCAGACTTTATATTCTTTCTTTAAATTACTTAATTATCACAACAAGCATTATTAGCAAAAAAAAAAGAGACTGGAAAAAATACAACTGCCTCTTGATAAGTCTACAATTCACTGGACAGCAGCATAAATATTAGATGGAAACAAAGAGGAGCCAACAAAGTTTACAGTGCTATGGGGTAGCAGTCAATGTGATTGGCAGAGGGGCGGAAGAGTATAGACCAGCGGTTCTCAACCTTCCTAATGCCGCGACCCCTTAATACAGTTCCTCATGTTGTGGTGACCCCCAACCATAAAATTATTTTCNTCTTAGCTTTATTATACAGGTAGCCCCAGGTCTGTTGTTTAAGATGAAGCTGTACAACATAATCCTTCCAGGCTGTGATTTATGATATAACTGGGATTACTAAGCACCATCACTTTCAGTTTTGGGTAAAGTATACAAAACAAAATTATTGCTATTAACTTCTGTATGTTTTTTTATACAGATCATCTTATACACTAAGCTGATCAAGTACTTTGAAAATGACTTCAAAACTCCACTGGGTGGCCTTCATACTTGCTGCATTAACATTTTCAATTGCATTTTCTCTCCAACCAGACCAGCATAAGGTTCTTCTAATTTCATTTGATGGATTCCGTTGGGATTACTTATATAGAGTTCCAACACCCCATTTTCATTATGTTATGAAATACGGTGTTCATGTGAAACAAGTTACTAACATTTTTATTACGAAGACTTACCCCAACCATTATACTTTGGTAACTGGCCTCTTTGCAGAGAACCATGGGATTGTTGCAAATGACATGTTTGATCCTATTCTGAACAAATCTTTCTCCTTGGATCACATGAATATTTATGATTCTGAGTTTTGGGAAGGAGCAACTCCAATCTGGATCACAAATCAGAAGGCAGGACATACTAGTGGTGCAGCCATGTGGCCCGGAACAGATGTAAAAATACATCAGAGTTTCCCTTCTCACTACATGCTTTACAATGAGTCCGTTTCATTTGAAGAGAGAGTTGCCAAAATTATTGAATGGTTTACATCAGAAGAGCCCATAAATCTTGGCCTTCTCTATTGGGAAGAACCCGATGACATGGGCCACCGTTTGGGACCTGACAGTCCGCTCATGGGGCCTGTCATTTCAGATATTGACAAGAAGTTAGGATACCTTATACAAATGCTGAAAAAGGCAAAATTGTGGAACACTCTGAATATAATTATCACAAGCGATCATGGAATGACCCAGTGTTCTGAGGAAAGGGTAATAGAACTTGACCAGTATCTGGATAAGGACCACTATATCCTGATTGACCAATCTCCAGTAGCAGCCATCTTGCCAAAAGAAGGTAAGTCTGACTGAGTGGTGGTCTGAGACTAGGTCTGCACATGCCCAGTTCGACTGAGTGGGGAATTTTTGATTCTGTGCCTTTAAGGTATGCTTGTCTGTGTCATGATAGTATTTTGGAATTTAACCCTGAGACTCTGGGGGGAAAATAAACCTTTTTGTTTATTTGTTTTGCTGGGGTTTTTTTTTGTTGTTACTGAACTGAACTTGGTTTGCTTCTTGGTGAACAAGGAACCAGACATTACGCCAAGAGTGGTTGCCATGCAAAATGAAATTTGTTTGCAGCAAATAAGGAACCCACCGGGAATAATTTCCAAAGCCGTGGCTCCTGGAACTAGGGAGCCTCTGTGCTTTTATCCCATCAAATTAATGCATATTCATAGTGGAAATTTTTGTCATAGCCTATAAAGAGTGGTGTCGGCTTGGCAAAGTAGCAGATCATGTGTCACATGTTCAGAAAACGGTGCCCAAACTCTTCCCATAGGCGGGGATTTTACTATTGTAATGAGCTCTTGGTCATCTTAAGTTCATAATAGATGAGTTAACCAGATTGAACTGGTTCTTTTCTGGCTTCCATTAGGGGTGTCTGCAGGTGCTTCTCTGGAGGCCCCAACTACTCCCTGGAAAACAGGCTAACAGAATATTTTGTTATTTCCTCAAACCAATCTGACGGTATCACTTGGAGTATAATTTTTCACTTTTTCCTAGACGATTGCAATTGATGCTCTATATATTGATGAGAGTCAAGTTTAACCACTTTGGAATCATCAAATATACATACAAAGTTTGCATGCAATTAGAGTGATTTCTGGGCCCTAAAGCCTTCTACAGATCCTTACTTAGGACCTGCTGAATAGGGAAGCAGTGGAGTGTAGGAAGGAGAAAGCTTTGGTCAACCTAAGATTCCTTTTTCTTCTCTATAAGTAGGGGAAGTAATAACAGGACCTTGACCTTTTTTTAAACCTCTTCTCTAAGCTTCATACCAACCATGTCACCTACATGTTACATCTCCATATCACAGTGTAAGTGCTGAGCAAGGCTCAGGCCTGCTCTTCTCTTCTGACTTCTGTTTTCTCACCTCCTAGGGTTAGTCCAGGTATCAAAAGAGAGAAAAGATTCTGAAAAGCTGAATACCTCACAATTGAGAGTTCTAGCCCTCACAGAAGAATTAACAGGACCACAGGAAACAGCGAATGTTAAAATACACATGGGCGCCTACACACAAACGTTTCAACAAATTCATTATAAAATAGCAAGTGTTGTGTTGTTGTTTAAGAAAGTCACATTAACCCTTCAGTTTTCCTTTCAACATTGATATGGTGTTGCCTTGTCAGGGCGTGGCAGGCAGGGAGGAACGAACCCCCACCAAATGGGCTTGAAAAAAACGAGAAAAGGAGAGAACATAGTGCCCAGGTTCAGCGCCTATGAAATTACAGGGAGTACTTTTGCAACACCTCCAGGGCGTTAAAGAACATTTCCATTTTACAGTGTGCTTTCCACCTCCAGTCTGCCCTTTCCCAACCCTCAGCCTCCAATTACCATATTTTCTTATCTAGAGATTCTCTCATCTCTGTGCTCATAGCTACCAGAACACAACTTTGTTTTCGTTTGGGTATTGCAGTGCCCTAAACATGTTACTTTAGCACCGCTAATCAGTGTGGGGTATGTGGTGTGTGTGTGTGTGTGTTGTGTGTAAGTTATTAAAACATCTCAAGTTAGAGATTTCTATTCATATAAAAATTTTTCTCTTAATTTTATAAAGTGAATTTACTTATAACAGAAAATTAATGATTTCTCAGTTTCCCCCCTCAAGATGCTTCCCTCTTAGAGGATGGAAGTTGTCAAGTGCCTGGCCATATTTCATTATGTGCAGTTTGCTGGCTTTTTCCCTCAGTGGGGTATCAGCGTTGACTGATTTCTGTTGCCATGATATTTTCTTTGATTGCAGCTGTGTCTTCTTCCGAGTGCCTCTCTTCTCCCTTCTCTTTTAGGTAAATTTGATGAAGTCTATGAAGCACTAGCTCATGCTCACCCTAATCTTACTGTTTACAAAAAAGAAGAGATTCCGGAAAGATGGCATTACAAATACAATAATCGAGTTCAACCAATTATAGCAGTGGCTGACGAAGGGTGGTATATTTTACAGAATAAGTCAGATGGCCTTATGTGTGAGTATGTTACAGTATTTCCTTCTCCTTATTCTGCATCATTGCGTGCTAAAGTGGACACTGTGGATAATACAGCAATTTATTTACCGATTAAATAAGTCACTAGTATCATACATTAACAGCAAAATTAAGATCCTTGGGGCTTTAAAAAGAGTTAACCTCCTAAAAGTGAAACATTGACTTCTCTTGAAGCCGTCAGACCAAAAATATGCACAGTGACCTCTACTGCTCATAACCATTATGTTCCTGTGAAAAACATAGCTGAAATTTATAAATTGAATTATTTTCTGTATCTGTTTTATATTCTGTGAGTTCATAAGAATTTAATCTCTATTTTTATTTGCAATTGTTTTCTAGTTTTCTGGGGCCCTTCTGGCTCTACCAGCTTTGGAAACATTTCTAAAAAGAAGTGACTATGTCATAGAAAAGAATATATCAAGACATGTTTTCCTAATACCTAGTGATATAATTTTGGAGAAGATAATGGAACTTCCATTTAAAATTCAGACATGCAGGATAAAGCGCTTTCTGCCATCCTTAATGAGTAATTTTCTCTTCTTCTATAGCTTTTAACGAGTTAGTCAAATGGAAAAGTCATCCACAGGATTTTTATTTCCACTTATCTTTATTGTCATTTGCATTTTTGCTGTCAAACTCCCTGCCCTTTTCATACTCTGCTTTGTATCACCAGTGACTGACCCCTGCAGACTAAATTCCCCAGACTCCTTTGCAAACTGAGTTCTGGTTAGGTTTGGCCTAGGGAAGACCCTAGCCAGGATTTGGAAACCAGGAGGAGGGGAGAAGCCTGGGTGTTTGACCCTTTCTCTCTCTCTACCTCAGGCTGTGTCTCTAACAAAGACTTCATTTCTTCTGTGATCCCAACTCCCTCTGGACAATCTTTCTCTATGGCCTCAGCTCCTACTAAGCAGCCCTGTCTTTGGGCTCTGGTGATACTACCCTTCCTTCTGTCCCTCCAGGCCTGGGGGCCGTAGAAGGTTCCCACTGTTCCCAAACACTGAATAACCTTACCATCCTGNCTCCCCCCACGTCGAGGCCTCTGCCGGCCTCGGTGGGCGTACCCTAAGCCGCGACCCTTCCCAGTAGCTAGGATGGAATGCCTGTGGAGAAGATGGGGCGAGGCATCACCCTCTTTCTGACGTCTGTTAGCACTGCACACACCTCCTCCTCCTCCACTTTCCCTCTTCTTCGCACCTCTTCCCTCCAGATTTCCAAGGGTGTCTGGGGTGGAAGGGGGAAGGATTGGAGCGGAGGAGGAATTGGGAAACAGGCCACTGAATTCTGGACCCAGAGCTAGGGATTCCACCGCACTGTGCAGCATTTTTTTGTGTATAAAAAAGAAAAATTCATCCTACCCCCATCCCTGTTTATTGCTTATGTCATCGATGTGATGATGTTGGTTCTACTTAGCAAACATTCCTAAGCTTTAGACAACTCTTACCCTTTGTTTTCCATTTTCCCAGGAAAGCAGTTCTTTTCTGCTTACCACTGTTGCTGAATGAATTTACTTAGAGGAAAATCAGGCGTTTCATGTAGTTGATTTTTTTTTTTAGCCTTAAATTGTATTTGATTCATATTCGCCTTCCTTTTGTTAGGAAGGTGAAGGAGAGGGGACAAAGGAGGCCCAACCATGCTCATCCACACACGTTAATAAATATATTTGCAGTTCCCTATTGGAACTGATGTTTAGTGTTCCTTCCAGAATTGGGAACATGGCAATAGCCATTCGAGAAATAGTTTTTAAATTTAATTTTGAATTATTGTCTGGAGACCAATACCTAAGACAATTTCTGTTTAAGTAATGTTCTATGTATGGTCAAGTCATTATTTAAAAACAACCAAAACAGAATTATTGCATCATCTGAAAGCAAAGAAAGCATGCCAAGCAGTTTTTACTTACCTATATCTATAATATAGCAAGGCAAGGCAGTCTATTTTTGAGGTTTAAAAATGTCTTTAGCATATTCAAATTAGGAAGATATCAAAAGCTGAATTCCTGAGGTTTCTTGGCACAAAGTATGGTTAGTTCCAAATTTTGGTGGGCTTATAAATACCCTCATGCAAGAATGGACAGGAAAAGGAGAGAACAAAAGACCTTTGCTTCATTTGCAAGCTCCATGAGAACTGACAACATTTACATATGTATTGTTTATCCATATTGCTTATTAGCTTCTTGACTAAAATAAAAGCTTTTTAGAAATATATGCAGATTTAAAAAAAATGTAACCATGGTCCAAAGAGATTATTTAACCTGGGAAATGCCTTTTCTATACATATCACTGATAAGATTAAATGTTACCAGTTTTGACATGAGGAAGGTCAACATGAACTTCCAAAATTATGTTTCTGTTTATACTTAGTTCAGAATCTAATTGTTTAATTTAGAGAAAATTATGATTTGATTATTAATAAATGAAGATCTCTT